TCAAGGATTTGGCTTGGATAAAATCGTTTCCCCCAATGCTGGGAGGCGATGATGAGAAAGGGGAGCAAGGTTTTCGGAAAACCAAATCTCTGGCTAAAAAGTGTCCTCGAGAGTTCGAGCATTTTGTAGAGAGGTTGTTGCATAGGGCAGCCATTCGAGGTTCGGAGAGCATTTGCTTGTCCGGATAAGCGAAATATATACACTTCCAAAAACAGGACGTGACGTCTGTTTTTGTGCCTTTCCAATGGGATCCTAGTGATGTCTCAGATGCTGTAGATCGTAGCGAGACGTATAGGGTCATCCAACATTTGACATGTCACACCGCCGTGCTTGATTTGTGTCATCCAACCCAAATAGCCAAGTGGACTGAGGCGTTTTTTGAGGGACTTTAGAGTTTTATGACAATGGTAGGAGGGGAGTATTGGACGCTGGTATGCTTCATTCCCCGGTCCTGCAAGCTGACGTTTTTCAGGCATGTCGTGCAATGGGATATTCACATGTCAGTCGCCAAGTAGACTCGACAACAACAGCTGAAGGTTCGGCATCCCTATAAGGTTGCAAATTTGCCGATGGAGGACACAAACAGGATGGTGGTCATTATGTACTCCAATGATGGTGACTACCATCGCAACACAATTCCTTTGTTTGAAGATATCCAACCAGCGGAGCCGTCTTCCAGTTCACGAGCAACTGACACTTTGACACTTGCGAGGCGAGAGCGAAAGCCGAAGTTGCTGATGGATGTAATAGAGAAAAACTTTCAGCCAACGAAGTGGAAAAGTGCGGGCTTAGAGCCGAAAGAGAAAGTGGTGTACGAAGGAATGGAAAGGGAGCTGAACTCAATGGTCGAGACGGTGGAGCACTTCTGTCCAGCAGATAAAGTTGTTATGTTTCTGGGGAAGGGTCATCCGGCTTTGGTGTGGGAGCTATTGAAAAGCCATCGCCATAACATTGTCTTAGAAGGCGAGGACATGAAGTTTGACTTCCTTGTGCAATTCGTAAAGCAGATGGTCGGCGTTCGAGATTATCATGCAAAATTCATCAAGCCACCACCTCGCCATGACGAAGCTCGTGATTTTGTGTACAAGGTCGGTCAAAATATGGCGAATATCTGGCAATTCCTTTTCGAGATGCGGCCAGAAAACAGGGGAGACCGTATATATGTTGCTCGCAGGCGGAAAGTTGAGGCCCTTCTACGAGGTTATCACAAAGCTTCTTCAGACAAAGAGATTGCGTTCCTCGACAAATTGGAAATGATGTACTTTGATGGAACAAATCGGTGCTTTCACGGTTGCTGCCTACGCGACTTGCTTTCCAAATGGGGAACAGTTTGACGCTGATGACTCTGAAGAGGAAAGTGTCGATGGTACTTTGCAAGTGGTCTTGGCAAGTGAAAGGCAAAAGGTCACTCCCTCTTCTTCTCAGAAGATGGCTACAGCAGGGACGTCATCAGGGACTCCTTCAATTGGTACTTCTGGTGTTGCGGTTGCCGGTGCAATGACTCTTCCACTAGTTACACCTCCTGCCGGCACCGCTGCTTTAGGAGTGTCATCATCTGCGGGATTGATGTCCGATCCAGCGGCGGTCTTTAGAGCTTTGTTCGGTGCTGAAGCCTCTCCCGAGTTAATATCGAGTTTCCAAGGATTAGTACAAAGCCCTGCTTTGTTGCAACGTCTTCTTTCTCAGCCCACACAAGCAGCACCTGCAAAGGAGTTGGAGTACGAGTATGAGATCGGGGATACGATCCCTGCGGACATCGCCCAATTGACGGGTCCTATCGTTTGTCAAGATGACCATACGGTGATGGAAGCTGATAAGTGGAGTCACGACATCGTGTGGCATCCAGGACATTTTCAACCGGCATTGGCAAAAGGAAAATGGGTGATGGCAATAAAAGAAGATAGGCAGTGGCAATTTTGCTCTCACCGACGTATGCCACAATCAAGGTTTTATACACATGCAAAAAATCAGATCAGGATGCGGCTTGCTCGACTCAATCTAAATGTTTCTGCATCGAGAGTGGACATAAGGACGAAGGAGGTTTTTCAGGAGCTCAAGGCATTGCGAAGACTTGAGTACTTGAAAATTTTTTATGATAGACAAACAAGCCCGACATTTGGATACAACTGGCGTATTGATGAGGGCAACGAGGGCGACGAGACCGGTGGGAAAAGGGGACAAGGTCGTGGTGGTGGAGCGAGTGGAGAGGGAGGTGAACACCCAAGTGGTGACGAGGGAGGAGGTGACGAGGGAGGACGTGATAAGGGAGGGAGTGGTGAGGGTGGAGGAACATCAGAAGCGCCTAGATACAGTCAGCCAACAACAGACACTTCAGAAGGGCAAGCCCATCGTCACCATGAAGGAAGCGGCAATGGTGTAGGAGGGCATATCGACATTCGTGGTTTGCCGCAGGTCAAGCTGTCTACTGCAGTGGAACAGGTTGACGAAGGATGTGAAGGTGGGCAAAGTGTCACCACAACACTCACAAGTGCCACTGTGACAGATATTGAACGGTGTGATGCCAGTGGCGCAAGTGTCTTCCCCGTTGCCGAGAAGGCTAATATTGGTAGCCCGCAAGGTCATATGTGGATGTCAATGGATATTTTGTCATATGGGTTGGGAAGCCAAGGGCGGCTCAGGGCATCATTGGATGAAACCATGTACCTGGAGGAAACGGAACTACAAGTCGAGCCTCGCACTCCACTCGATGAAGAGACACTCAGAGGCGACTTAGAGATTCCAACAGAATTTCGAAGCCCGATATCAGCGGAAACGGCACAACGAGGGTCTCAGGAGGCGCGTACTGTAACAGGCTACCAGGAGGAAGCTATGTTTGCACCGGGCGGCGAGCCTAACAGCCCATTTGATGAAGAGACCCCTGGCGGCGACTTCGAAACTCGTATCGGAGGGTCTCAAGATTCGCCTATTGTATCCGTTACTGCTGGGACGAACGACACTCTTGAGGGGCTTGTGGGGAAAGAAGCAATCCGAGTACCGGACATCGAAGAGGATGAAGGACATATTGTACTGACTACTCCAGAGCAACACACACCTGTGGAGGAAGGACAAGAGAGTACACTTCAGACTCCTGTACAGCAGTTCAGCCCATCTGTTAAAGTGATAAACATCGAAGAATCCCCTCTCACATCAAGACAGTTCAGAGGTGCAAAAGAAGACTGTGCTCAAGGGAAAATCGCAGTTAGTTGCCGAGGTGAGCACTTACCTTACGAAGTTAATATATGTATAATATTGTATGTAGAACGAGATATGATTTTTCGGTTTTGCATGTTATTGTGCATTGGAACTACTCCATGTTTATTTGCATATATGTATTGTGCCTTTAGCGGATTTGTAATGACATAAAAACGAACGTCACTCATATTACTCGTTACTATCGGTCATGATTGTGCTCTCTACATTGATGAACGTGCAGGTCTGCGTAAAGGACTGTGGAAAGCCCCTCGCGTGCACTCGCAAAGGAACAGTGACAATAATATTATACGTCGTGGTTTGCAAGCCTTGTCAACGCTGCCATTGTTGCCCAAAACAGCTAAAAGACGAGCGGAACCTGTGACGATCCCATTTGTGAAGCCACCTGCTCTAAGGATGTTTAAAGCTGTGGGAATAGGGACGAAACAAGGAAAGAAATTGCACCGTGAAGTTTGCATAGTGTGTGTTGTGGAAAGCGGCAGCGACAGCGAAGTAGGCAAACAAGCACCGTCATGAACTTCGTGTCCGCTTTTTATATCTTGTATGGAAGTCTTAGACATACCGTTGTTGTTTACCTGTGTGTTTGTATGCAGTGCCTGGCCGATCGTTCAAGATTCCTCTAGCAACGCAATGCCTCACTGAGGTTGAGATGCAGTATGTTGAAAGGGTTGTGAGAACTGGGGAAGATAACAAAGAATACATCATTGTTGTTTACAAGGGTGACTGAAAGATGGAAAAGAAAGACATCATGCTCATCATTGAAGCAGGAGGATGGTTGAATGATGAAGTTGTGAATTTGTATCTGCTAGCCATCCAGATCGACAATGATAATGTCAGAGAGAATTTGATGTTTAGAGGAGAGATTAGAGACGAGAGTCCGAAGGACATTCCATCTGTGTATATTTTAGATTTTTTTTTCTATGTCAGATTGGCATCCGCGACGTCAAGAAAAATTGCTTATTGTGAGGGAATGAAGTGGATTAGGGGAAGAAATATTTTTGATTTTAACTTTGTACTTATCCCTTTGAACCAGCGTTGTCACGCGGGGATCCCCGGGGCCCAAGCCGGGGTAGGGGTTTCAACCCCGGACCCCCGCCGCGGGGCTACCCGACCCCCGCCCCCGCAAAATCAACCCCGGCCCTGCCCCAACCCCGCACCCCCGCCC